ATTTAAGGATACCTTTCTGATAGAAAAGGACAGCTGCCATTAAAAGTAACTCATGAACGCCAAGATTCCTTCAAGTGTTTGTGTCAGCGTGTCGGCATGTCAGCTTGTCCCCACCCCCCCAACGCTGTAAACCTAGGGGAAACACTGAAGTATTTCTCTGTTGTGATATTCTGTGTTCAGAAATGTAAGCTCAGAGGTTTTTTTTGTATATCTTAAACACAGTTTATTATTGTTTTGTTGTTTGACAGAAAACTGACATAGCTCTCTGCTTTTAGGGGTGAAGATAGTGTTTCGTGTTGGCCTGGTGCTACTGAAACAGATGCTTGGCTCTGTGGACAAGCTTCGGGAACTACAGGGAATGTATGAAACCATGGAGCGTCTCAGAAACATCTCCCCTGACACTATCAGAGAGGACATACTGGTACAGGAGGTAAGTGTTTCTCTGTCAGCTCCTAGTAAACAAAACCTGCTTCTGATTTTACTCAGCCACACCAGTTATGAGTCATTTTGTCCTGTAATGGCCAGTCTACTAATCTTCACTTCCTCTGTCTCTTCTCTGTGTGATCTGACATCCAGATTATCACACTCCCAGTGACGGAGTCGCTCATCGAGAGGGAATGCAACATTCAGGTAAGGAAGTGGAGGGAGTCAAGGGGGGAACTGACACACCAGCCAGGCCGCCGCCTACACGGTACGAGAGCCATCTATGAGTACAAACGCCGTGCCGCCTCCATCAGCTCTGGCGGCAGCTTTTCTTTCCTTGGAAGCTCGATCCCTCCGCCAGGACCCCTTAGGGCTTCTTCCAGTCTGCTCTCACTCCCCGGCTTCCGCAAGTCCAAGTCTCCTTTCCACTCCCAAATCAAAAAGGGCTCCTTCTCAGGGCCGTCAGGGATGGATGGCCTGCCACATCAGCCCCCACCTGCTGCAACATCAAGCCCAGGGCGAGGAATCGCCAATAAACCACCCATTCCACCTGGAGCAGGTCAGAAAGCACTGGCTCCCCATGTTCAAAGCCCCTTAGTCGTGGGTGCAGCTGCTTCATCACATGGGTCTGCTGAGGTCTCAGAAGGCGCCTCAACACAAGGCCAGTCTGCTTCTTCAGCCCCATCACAAAGCACAGCACCACCCCCCAACACTCTGTCCCCCGCCCCAGTGATTGTCTCTGAGCAAATCACTCAGACAATCCCATCTCCTACTGCAAACAACGCCCCTTTGCCACCGTGTCCAGATTTTAAAAAAGAAGCATCGCCAGTGGCCGAGGCCAAAACTGTGGAGGAAGAGGGAAAGAAGAAGAAGAAGAGCAAAGAAGACAAGAAGAAGGAAAAGGAAGATGACAAGAAAAAACTGAAGGAAAAGAAAGAGAAGGAAAGAGCGGAAAAAGAGAGGCTCAGGAAGGAGAAAGAGAGGCTAGAAAAGGAGAAGAAGAGAGGGGGGAAGAAAAAGGACAAAGGGGGAGGAGATGCTGAGGACAAAAATGGAGCTACAGCAGCGAGAGATTCGGCCTAGTTTTTCACCCCATCACTCAAAGATCATAAAAAAGGGACACTGAACAAAAGAAGAGTTCAGGGGAACAAAAAACTCCAGAAACAAAGAGCAGTTAATAAAAAAAAAATGGGATGGCTTCCTGTATAATGACATCATTTTGAAGACTTGGTGTATGTAGCCCAGGGACTATGGTGGAGCAAACTGGATCATGGTTTTAATAGCACCTCAGGGGGCTTTCTGCCTCTTGCTCAATGCTTTCTTTTTCAGAGTGTTATTAAGACGGGACAATTTTCCTTTTTCAACTGGAGCACATACTGTGAGTCTGAATATTTGTTCAGATTATAACAGTCATTACCTTTTAGTTTTTTTAAATTCCCTTTTTTCATTTTTTATTCTTTTTACCCCATTGATGGCAGTGATTAGACAAACATCGACTAAATGGAGGGTTGAGGGATTGTTTGCAGGTTGAGTAGTGGTGCCATAGAGCATGTAAATAAACAGTGCATCTACCTACAGTACATAGGATCCTGTTTGTGTTCCCTATGCCCTGTCAGTTCTCATCTGTGGACAGTGTTTTCAAGATGCCTGGAACAAAAAAAGAAAAGAGAAGAAAACCCTTCTGCATCCAACGCAGGCACTGTGGACAGAACTCTTAGTGATGATGTTGAGGATGTATTTATTGTCATGTTAAATGTTGTGAGTGAGTGTGTGCCTTAGTAGTGTAGTGAAGTGTGTTACAGTTCTATGTGTGGCCTATCTGGTTATAGACTCCCTTTGACGATTTTTTTCTTCTATGAAATCAAACAGTCGCTTTATCTTGTGTTTTCCCCACATTATTTCATCATTGGAATAAAACCAACTGATGAGAATAGAAGGATGTTGATGAACAAAAAGAGGGATGAGTTCAAAGTAAAGCCACACACCATGAAGCGGTGTTATCAGTGGTAGTTTAGGATGGGAGTGTTGAAGGATTTATTTTATTTCAGGCCTCAATTTTAATCTCATTTGATTGACGTTTTTGGAAAACATTATTATAAATCCAATCAACCACATGTCCATTTCTAAAATAAGTATTACTTCGCTTTTGACGAACAAAATCCCAAATAAATGTGTTAAAATTAGCCAAACTTCAGTATGGATAAGAACTTCGGTTCACTGACCCGTTAGAATGTGATTTTAAGAGAATGAAGGATGCACTTGTGAGTTTAGACACAAGGCACCACTGAAGTCAACCACTCCGATAGTGTAGTAACGTAGAGAGCGAGAGTCTCAAACAGGCCGGTTTCATCTCATTTGAAATCTGTGCCTTGAGGACCTATAGGAAGCCACTTGAGTAGAGGTGCCAGGTGTGCCAATGTAGCATGAACCTCAGATCGTTGACCTTCGGGCTCTGATGTATTTATGTACAAAGTGGTTAATTTAATCAAATATAGTATATTATGAATTATTATTATTATTTTTGATCCGACTATTTTTCTATGTGAGCGAGAGACACCTGGTTGACTGGAATGATGGCTGACTACACACAATGTAGTCACAGAGGGATTATTTGAGTGGTCCTTTTTTTTTTTTTTTTTTAATTCTGCACATGCTGAGTCCTCTGCTTTCACGCCACAAACTTCATGCAACTCTTGGCTTCTATTGTCTTCACCGTCACTGTTGGTTTGGTCAACTTTTAAGTTTACTGAAGTGCAGTATTAAAACAGACTAGAGTGGTGAAATGAAAGAACAAAGGGTGATTCAGACATACGTTTTGGAAGTCAAAGGTCTTAATTGTACTGTATAATATACTAAGAGGAGATTGGAATAGTTCTTTGATTCAAGATTTTAAGTATGTCAGTCTCACTTAGTTGTGATGTAACATTCAGAATAACTTCTGGACTAACTCCCTAACCTATTTACACTCAGTGTCCTGTACTGTAAGATATTTATGCATACATTAAAACGCACTGAACCTCATCAGTATATGGTGAGTAGTGCCAGGTAGTTTGTGTGAAACCATTTGATAGCCAACAAAAAAAACAAAAAAACATTGATGCTCTTATACTGTACTGTTTTTGTAGTCAAGGATTAGAGGGACTTGCGTGTAGCTTTGTAGCCAACATCCATTTCCATTCTTCTCACTTATTTCAGGCTTTCATCCAAATAGATGAATGATCACACCCTGCTCCTCTGTTTGAACGCACGTGCAGTCACAGGCACAGATTAGTGTAGTATTAGTGAGGATGAACTGAACACATCTATGCAAATTATCCTCCATAGATCGTTGGCATGGAAAAAAATTGATTCTGTGCTCTGGTTTTTTCCATGAGCACACTTTCAGGCCCGTGGATGAAAATATTTTATGAGCAATATGTTCAATGATCAAATTCATCTCTGGCTGCTTGTCGAATCAGCGCTTAGATCTGCAATATTGTGGATGAATTGAGGATTACATTTCTGCAGGTCCTTTGTACATTTCTGCATCGGTCTTAAAACCGTATCTATGGTTACATTTATTTGGGGAATGACCCCAAGGATGCAAATATTTGAAAAAGAAAAACAACACCGTTAGAGCTGTTTTATCCTCCCCACGCCGTTATGTCTTTTCTTCATGTTTTTAAGTTTACACGTCACTCTCTCTCTCTCTCTCTCTCTACAGCGAAAGTGAAATAAAATCCATAGATAATTGAATTCATTCCTTCAGATCTACAACTGATGTATTTAATTGATGATAATGACATTTGTGATGAGTAATAAACCATAATATATTAAATCATCAGGGTGTGTTTGTGTTTCTTGGAGGAGGATGTTCTCTTTGTGTATTACTGTTAAACTAGTAGCAAATAATTCAACCCTGAGACTACTGTGTGTGTGTGTGTGTGTTTATGCAACTGTTGGTCATGTTCCTGGAAACATTATGAATCTGGGTAGATTAAATAACCTTCATCTATTTTTAACCATGGACAGTCAGCTGCCACTGCCTTAAAAATACACAATGTTATTTCTATCACTATAATATAAATAACAAAATGTGTAAGAATGAAGTTCATGTTACTTAAACTAAATCCTGCGGTGATGTAGGAGAAGACAAACTATGTTTCTTTAAATGACCTGTAATTATTAATTCCACATTTATTTATTTTAATGGGCATTTATATCCTAATGTATTTTTCATCTTATTAATTTGCATCCAATAAATCCTATTTATTTATTTATTTTTATTGGTTCATTTGAATATGGTCGTTATCATGTATTGCCTCTTAGATTTCACTTAAAGTTTGTTTAATAGCCAGTTATTTCTTTTCTGCACAGATATTTGGCAGAAGTGGCCCTCTATTTAATCTGGGGCTGATCTGTATTGATCAGATGTATCCCTCTGGCCTGTGTTTGTACCTGCAGGTGTAAAGAAGCTCCACTAGAGGTCACTAAATAATATGTATTAATGAGGGATCTATTTCACTAGACTTATATCCTCCCCTGAACCCTGTCCCCCAGAGCCACAACAGAGACACTATTTTACAAAAGGAAAGAGATTTTATTCACAGTTTGTCCCTTTTATTCATTACAGAGGAAAGGTGAGGAAGATTCCAGTTCCTGAAGTTGAGACAGCTTATGAAAAGGAAGAGGATTTAATGGACGCATGAAGGAGTGGAGGGAAAGACATCGAAGATTTGAATGTTTTCTTTCGATCCTTTCTCTCCTCTCCTTCATTCATTTCTTTCATTTCTCAAGGACAAAAGTTGCCGTCGCTTTAAGGAGGCAACTTTTGTCCTCACCAACCTGCAAAAAGCTCTCCCCTCCTCCCACCTCCTCCACCCAAGAGGACATCTTCAGAATATGGAATGAAGTCCTCAAGTTTTGTAAACCTCCCCTCTCCTCAGATACCGAGGAGGAGCAGAGGAACACGTTTCATTCACACAAACACCTCAGGATGAAGTGATGAAGGGCAGGCAGACATGAAGAAGTGAGAGGAAAGAAGAATGGTTGCAATGAAAGAAAAGGTTTGTGAGAAAAGCTTGTGGATGGAAATGATGTTACAGGATAATTTTATTGAAAATCACCCCTATTCCCCATAAGCAAACATAGACACCTCATAGGCATCGACCCTTTCATGTGTCAGTGTGACAAAGTCTTTGGTATGAACATGAACAGGTGAGCCCATGGGTTTTACACGAAAAGGTGAGGGTGAAGGGAGAGGAGGAAAGAAAAGGGCAGGGAAGCAGAATAGCAAAGGGATTGCTGTCTTTATTTGTCTTCTAGCTCTCTCTTTACTCCTCCTTCTCCTCTCCGTGTGTGATGACGTAGCAGATGTTCTTGTAGTCTACGTTGCCAGCAACATCTGGGGGGAAGGCGGACCACATGTTCTTAATCTGAGGGAGAAAATGAGAGGGTTGGAAATGAAGCATGACGGGATTCACCATGCATGTGATTGAGTTTAAAGCGACAATTTCGACAATTTCATCTGAAAAATCACTTTAAATGAGGAATCTGAAGTCTCACACTAGGAATGTCTCCTCAGGACCTATTTCAAAATATTCCAAATAAATATATATCTGCATGTGTAATAAGGACAAGACCCCACCCTGAAAATCAAACTAATGTACAGTAATATAAAACCTATTGACCTATGAAGTTCTACAATTGAACTAGTCTATCAGAAGAAACTCTTACTCTTAATCGATGGATTGAAATGTGATTGAAAACTGACAGTTTCCCCTTTGAAAATTGGGTGAATCTCCATCTTTTGAAAACCATAATACCCCTATTATACCTGTGTCGTCTTTATTGAGTTAATTCCATAACAGTATGTCCATAAGGGCCTCACTTAAATCGGCCTTCTTTTTCTAAAATCTGTTTCATTCATAACAACTGAAAAGTGTCATAAAATAGGTTTGTTGCACAGACTGATGAGATAATATGTCGATTTTTAAACTAACTCATGAAAGAAAATGAAAACTGTAGCGTTTACTGTTTAACATAAAGGCTATGAGACTAATGAGCCAGTCTACAGGAACATGCAGTATCCTTCTTAAAGGTGGGCGGGGTTTTACCTCCTCCTTGCTGAACCTGTCGCACTGAGTGGTCAGGAGCTCCTCAAGGCTGGAATGGACAAACAGAGAGGCATTACATTTGAATTCTCCCCATTTGGAAGTGTGTCATGAACAACATCATTCAGCATGCTCACAATTCCTTCTTGATGGATCCAGTAGCTTCGGGGTCCAGGACCTTGAAGGCTGTAAGAATGACGTCCTCGGGGTCAGCACCTGGTCAGAGATGGGAAGAGGTTAGAAAGTAATTTAAATATTCTGTTGTGTAAAATGATGAAAAGATTTGATTAAGTGTATGAGTATAACAAATGTAATATGCTACAGAGGGATGACATGTTGATGTGAACACTAACATGTCACTGTCACATCAATGTGTGTGTGTGAGGGACAGTTTGTAAAATTAGACGCTCACCCTTCAGCTTCTCTCCGAACATGGTGAGGAAGACAGTGAAGTTGATGGGGCCGCTGGCCTCCTTGATCATGGCCTCCAGCTCCTCATTCTTCACGTTCAGCTGGCCTGAAAAGCCCCCACCCACCCAAAACAATCAGATTACTACATTATACCTTTTAAACACACATCACCACACGCATGTTTCTCCGGTTTAGATTTATCCAGCTCACCCATGGAAGCCAGCACGTCCCTCAAATCATCTTTGCTGATGATACCATCTCTGTTCTGGTCAATGATTGTGAAAGCCTAAAGAGAAGAGAAGCAATGTTTTCCTTAAAAGAAGCACAGAGGACACATGGGGAGGGGAAAGGGGGGGGGGCATGTAAACTGTGAGAATAGACTTGGCGCCTTTGGAGGATGGGGTGGGGTGGGGGTGAGGGTGGGGTTGCTTGAGGTGGCCCCAAGTTTTTCCTTACATGTTAATCTGGGGAAGTATCATTTCTCAAACAGCTGTCTGATCTGCTCACTCAGTGCAACTTACGTTGATGAAATTTAAGATAACCCCTTGGACTTGAACTTGAACACAGCCTCTCTCATCTCACACACACACACACACACACACACACACACACACATACGCAGAGCCTCCTACAGATATAAAATCCATCAACCCCTGGCTGGTATCTTTCCGTCAGCGTGAGGTGCTTAGATCATCCTCATCATCAAGTCATACATTCCCCGAGTGGCACTCAAGTACCCGTATCACTTATCGCAGCAGGAATGTTCCTTCTATTCGCAGCACATATCCCTCCGCCAAAAACGCCATCATTATCCGATGTCTTGACAGCCCATCCTTATAAAATCCCCGGACCTTACTTAGCTGTAACACTCACCAGTAAAACCTCACTTTCACACTCATTGATCTTTCTTTCTCTACTCACTGAATCAAAAGTTGTTTGGGAAATTAAGACAAATACATTTTAAAAATGTGTCCTTATCTCTCTCTCTCTCTCTCTCTCTCTTAATGTTTCTGTCCTGCATTAAACAAACACTTTTTCAAGTCCAGCTGTTCTCCGGGGCCTCCCAGCCTTCACCACAAGCTTTAAGGAGACGTCTGACTGACAGCTGGAGGAGAGCTTCAGATGGTGTCAGAAATTTCAGAGCTCCCTCCTAATGACATTCTCGCGCTTATTAAACTGTCAGGGGAGATGAGGGGGGCGGGCCCACAAAATAGCAACTGCTGTGAAAATGGATCCAAAGGCTGCTTAACCAAACTCTAAATTTGGTCACCATCTCCCAAGAAAGTTATCTGAAATTACACTAGAATCCATTCAGAAACTGTCTGTCATATTTGTCATTCACTCATGTCTAATTCTTCTTTACTGCTGCCAAGATTGATGCAGCACAATAAGGAAAAGAGGGTCCTGCAGGGATGGAGTTTTGCTGTTTGGCCGGACAATCCTCACCTCTTTGTACTCCTGAATCTGGCTCTGCTCAAACATAGAGAACACATTGGAGGAGCCGCTGTCTCCTCCTCCTGCCCTCCTCTTAGCCTTCTTTGGTGCCTGGAGGACAAATACAAGAAAGAATCTTCAGGTGAGACAACTCCTGGCTAAAACACAGAAATGATACTGACTTCTGTACAGGCTTTTAACCCCTTAACATGAGGAGTGTATACTACAGAGTGTATAAGAGGATGATTTCCCTTTAAACTTGTTAAATATATATAAAGAATTTTAAGACACCTTCAATGATAAACTACAAAAAAAAAACAAAGATGGGAGAAAAGGCTAAAGGATTTGAATTAATTTTGTGATGCTGAACAACCTTTTTCCTTCTCTCCCAATCAGTCAGTCAATCATGTCTCAACATCTTAAAAAGGCCTTGACCCCACTGTTAGGACCTCAAATTAGCAAAGATGTATTTTATCAGACATGACAATATCACATGCATGTGGTTTAAGAAGGGGCTTTAAATCTGGCCCTGTGGATGTTAAGACTTGGCATGCAATCTGAATTCAGCGACACAAAGTTAAAGCATCCTTAAAAATGCATCACAAGAACTGCAAAAATCCACACTAATCGGTTGGTCTATGATGACAACGATCCCATCTTTAACATTAATATCATTTCAAGCTTCAACAAAAATGAAAAGAAATTCAAAAAGTTGAGTTTATTCCAAAGGGCTGCTGAGATTCCCTTGTAGATATATCCAGCAGCACAGGCAGCAGGGATGAGGGAACTGTGGTACTCACCATCTTGAGACGGTAAGAGCTGAGGTATGGATGATCAACAGGGAGAAGACAGGGTGAAGCCGCGTTATTCGTCCATCCCGGGGGGCTTATATACCCCTGCACAGGCCAATCTAACTTTAGCCACAGCCTCAAGTTTGGATGGGGATAAAAAGAGAGAGAGAGGATGGTCTATGATAAACTGATGTGAAGGAGACAGATTGGTGGGACAGCGTATCACCTTACAGGAGATCAGAAATAGACCCAGGAGTCTTGGAATTAAGTAAACCTGATAGTGGAGGGACCCTGCTATAAGTTTGCAGTCCCACGTGGACTAATAAGGACATTCGGGACATAAATGTCCGTTGGACCAGAGGACTATGTCCCTCCACCCTCCTTCTGATCTCCTCGATCTGCAGAGACCCATCAGCCACTCGCTGACTTTATTTTTGGTTTGTGATGTCCATTGCTATATCACAGGCTGGGATTCAAGCATTCTATACCCTCAGCAACTGATGCTGCTTTTACCCTGTATGTGCACAGGTCGGCTTTCTTTTTTTAAATAGTTACAAAGTAATGACGATAAGGTCGCATTCGGGATTACTCATTCCAAACATGTAGTTATGATTGCATGACAGCATCCAACTCGTTCCCAAGATTAATTGAAAAGATCTTTTTACACAACAAGCAAAATGGACGAGCGAGTATTTTAATGTTTGCTGCAGGAGCCAACGTTTGAAATAACTGAGGTAAAAAGGTTAAGTGAGGTTCATTGTTATCCTTGGAAATAGGTGTGTATTTGAGAGTGTATGTTTTACACACTGTGTATTTCATCTTTTGTATAAATATAAAAGAATAAGTACTTCATTTGATTAAATACACCTGTATTCATCCACTACACTTTTTCTTTATTTATGTCGTTGTATTTTTTAGACCTGTCTTGTTTTCTCTCACATGCAGTCCATGGAAATTTTACTTTATGACGACTGTAATCAATTCACTTTAAAAATATTGAAAAAAGAGTTACTGCCTGAAGTGATCATTGACACCGTTTGCTTGATTGTGAAGAAAAATCCAAAATTCATAAAAACAACACAGATAAACAACAAAAAGATCAATTAGAAATACACAAAATAAGAGGTGGATTTCTTTGGTGCTTAAAGATGTAAATTGTGGAGAAATGAGGCCTTTATTAATAATTACAGCAATAATACAGCAATAAAAAAATACTCATCCATTCCAGTATTTAATGAGACAACATTAAACATTGCACCAGTGTATGATGGGCAAAAAACTTTTTCTCACTCAGGGCCTCCGAATGTTTTCAATTAACTTATAAGAGAAGTTTAAATGGGGAATCACATCATCGGACACATCTGACATGTGACATGGAGTTCAAACCAGAAACTTCTTTTTATATATTGGCTGTGAGATATAATTTACATGTTTGTCATTTTTCATATAAGACGTAATTTGTTACACATTAATGTTCAGACAGATGTGGAGTAGAACTCATTACAATAACTGCCTCTTAAATGAAGCAGACTTGTAAGAAGATGAATAAAAATTATATTGTGATACTCAAATATGATACTTTCTACTACTGTGACAAGGATGGCGCAGTGATATTTTACATTTATAACCACCAGAAGTTGCTCAGATATCAAAACATCACCTTGTGTTTCAGATTTCTTGTGTTTGTTTTTATTCCGAGAACAGGAAAGTGGTTTGAACTTGGAACATGTCACAGTCAGTGAATGCACCATTAGCCTCTCGCTCACCACACCACAACAAAAGTGTGTGTGTTTGTGTGTGTATATGGTAATTGACCACACATATGAACACTTTCCCACCTGTTTGCCTTCCTTCTTGCAGAGGCCACCCTCCCTTAAATATAAGGGGATTACTCCGCAGGCTGATGGCAGCACACATTCCCAGAGAACAGAAAAGGAACAGCTGAGCGGGACCAAAATAGCTAAATAAACTTGGCAGTCTGCAAATGCGGCGGGCCCTCACAGAGCGAAATGCTCCCCTTAATTAGTGTTTTCATGTTTTTATATCCAAATTTACCTCACAGATAATCCATTCTCATTTCATTAGCAACTTTGTTAATGCCCTTAGTGGAATTTATCCCCCCCCGCCCCCGATGCCCTCTGCCCGGAGCTGTTTGTCTTTCCGATCTCTTTGCAGTCAGATGTTCAAAGACGAGTCACTCCTTTGCTCTTTACCAACGTTAACATGGATAAGACAGAAGCTCGTTTGACTAAGAGGCCGTCCTGACACCTAGACCTGACCCAAGCTGTCAGGCCTCCACTTGACCTTCAACCCGGGGTCACCTGTGTATCACCACCTTGTTGCAAGAATGAAATATGTCTCAGCACTTGTCCTTAGTCTGGTCCCACATGTTTCAGTACCTTTTTATAATGAACTAATAAAAAAAACATTAGTATGTAAATGAAGGGAAACTTTATATCATTCAGCATTTAAAATCACATGAAGAATTTGTGTATACAGAAGAAAATTACTATTTTTTTTTTTTTTTTAACCAGAAATTACTTAGGAATAAAATCCCCAAAAAAACACGTTTTTGCATTTAAAAAAGGAAAGTTAGTATGAAGCATAGACCAGCCTTGTTTTATTTGACGCTTTAACATTCAAATCTTCATTGTTTCTAGTTATAAAACGTATGATTATGTTTTTAAGAAGCCTTAATATTGGATCCATTGCCATTAGGATATTGACTGGCAGATATGGTGAGCTTATTTCTACATTTAATGAATCATGATTCCTCAATTATACGAATGAGCTGTTGCATGTGAAACTTTTCGCAGGTGTGTCAGCTGTTGCCGGTCACTGACCTTTTCGACGCGGTTGTAAAATAACAGAATGGTCCCATCACAATGTGTTTACGCGCTGCTATCCTGACGACGCGTTTCCATCCAGATGTGTGTGCATTTCTGGGGGCCTTTGCTGTAACGTGACACGTATTGGCACGCTCCTCTGAAGCCATCCATCATTTTTAAGGTGACTGGTATGTCTGTCTGTCAGGATCCGGAATGTGAAGAAGCTGCCGGGTTGTTTTCTTTAGTTGAAGACCACCATAAAGAAGCGCAGTGACAGGAGAGCGTTTGATTACCTGCCAGCCTCAGGTAACCCTGCTTTGCTATTCAAGCCCATTTAATATGCATGAAATTAATTGTCATATATTTAAATTTGAGAACTAAATAAGTAAGAGTCACCTTTTGCTTTTTTTCCACTCTGGTGACATGGAGGAGACATGGCAGCTGAGTGATGGACTTCATTTCAAAGCTTGTTAACATTTACACACTGGCGCTTTATTTGTTTTTGCCTGTAAAGCAGTTGTCTCATTAACACAGACTCACAGGTAATCAGGACATTTCAGACAGACGTGTTGTAATGATCCAATTGAATGAACTGTTAAAGTCGGTTGTGCATTTCTTATTGACATGCTTTCATAAATATTTCTGCCTAAGCAAAATTTTACAACCATATAATAAATCAAAAGTTTCATTTATTGGAAAGTCCCTTTTTTTGCACAGTTAATAGTTCTTTTTCACTCTGCAGTTGTATTTCTTTCCATCATATTTATAGCCTGCTGTTGTATTCTAAATTAGTAGCCTTCTGTTGTTTAATATTACAATTTATTTAACATGCTTTTCATGCTTTTATTATTTTTTAAAGAAACGGGACCTGAGTATTATATTTCTAGTATAGTTAATGTTACTCCTATGCTAAGGAAAGACAACAAACCTCCTTGAATCAGTCCAGCCCAGAATCCATAAACTGTGCCAGCAGCGCCCTCTGCTGTTAACATCCCCCAGTCACAATCTCTGCCTCTGAATAAATAAAGTTTTTCACAGTAACATAAACGGCAAGTTTGGCTTTGCTTTGCACACATTTCTCTTCAAGTCGCTCGAAATGTAGTATATATTCAACGCATCTTTAAGGATTCTACTCAACAAAATCCTACCTTTACAAAACCCCATTTCTTTTAATGTTACCTATTAAACCACATGTTTTCATGCATCAGTTTATCTTCACCTTTGGCTGCATATAACAACAAATGAATGATGATATATTTAAGTCAATGGCTGTGCTTTATTTTCCATGCAGTCAATAATATATAATACATCAGACAGCCTTCATACACTATAGGGTGTGATTTATAAATGCCTAACATGTGAATACATAACTGCTCAAAAAAATGTAAATATATCTTTAAAGCAAGTGCACAGGTTTCAACGTAAAGATGAAAAATATATGAATTGTAAGCTTAATACTGCTTCAAAGGGCCTTTTCGTACCACTGATGAATTAGCATATTGCAGCACATGAGAATACACTGCTCAGGAAATAGCATGTTTTTACAATGAAATGAGAAAAAGGGCACAAACAGGGACGAGGCATCATGAAGGACATGATGCCGTGCCAACGCAGGAAAAGCTTGTGTGCAAATTAATGATGGCTTCGTTTAGCTGCTTGAGTCTCTGGATTTGGAGCGTGCTAGTTCTCTCGACACCATCGCAGCTTACTGTGACAAGTAATCAAGTAAATAGAAAAGAGACATTGTTAACATTATTGTGATATTCATCAGAATGCTGTAAATAAAAAGCCTATCAGAACACTGTTTCTGGTCCAAAAGGTAGTGATCCCCATCCCATCTTGTTCCATGGACACTTTAAGGCCACCATGTTTCAGGAAATTACAACTTTCTAAAAACAAATCTAACAAAAACATGATTTAAACATATAATCTAAAACATTTAGCATATTCACAGATATATCTGGCTCTAAATATGTTGTCATGGTAACAGAATAATTTACACTTTAGGTTCAGTTCCTTTTTTTTAACACACATTGTAACTTCCTCCTGAAATGTCTCTAAACTGTCTGTTTATTTTTTCACCCCAGGTCGATGAGATCTTCTTCGCTGCGCTCCTCCTTCGCTTGTCGACTCCTCAGCCACTCCTCTCTCGCTCTCTTCACCTCCTGCCCGTAATAGTCATGAAGTTTGCTGAACTCCTCAAGAGGATCGAAGCCCACCAAAGGCCATTCTCCGTACAAAGGTGCCGGTCCATTAAGTGGTGTGACGTGAGCGTTTCTCCTGTGCCACAGTTTAGGGGACTTTTTAGTGAC